CCCCAAAACCCCAAAACCCCAAAACCCCAAAACCCCAAAACCCCAGAAGGGGTCCACTCTATTGAATACTGGAATTATGAGTTATTTACTCTAATTATTTGAAATTTTGCTCAGGTCAAGCTTTAATTTTTGATCTTGTCCTTTCGTGTTCACACTAAATTTACTGTGATTAGCACTTTGGTCTTGAGAACTACTATGATCTACCTTGCCTTTGAGGTAGTCCTTGATGACATCTCGATTAAGCTTGCTGTTAAAGGAAGTCGTCTTTTGAGAAGCTCTTGTCTGCATCTTTGTTTCAGAGTGAAGACTACCTTTTGGTGAAAATTTAAAATTGCCACCTGATTTCACCTTTGTCAGAGATGAAAATTGTACCTGGCTATTTGTAGTCCCCTTCTTTGGAGGTTTTCTAGTCAGCTCCATTGTGTCTATCATTCCTTGGCTTGTAAACTTTCTTCTGTGCGAATCCTTTGGAGACTCCTCTCACTCTTCTGTCTTAAACTTAGTATCTATAACTATAAATATGAGATCATACCTAGTGTGGCAGCCTCATTTCTACTATGAGGGAACAAATCTGGCTTCTTAAATGTAGAATTGAGGTTTATAACCTGAGATCCTTGTGATTTCTCAAAATTTTTAACAACGGGAATTCGATCGGTCTTATGCATCACTTCAATGGTGTTTTCCTTTTCTTCCTCAATCTTCTTCCTCTGATTTTTCGATTTATGCTTTTTCTCTTTCTTGGCCTTCTTCTCCTTTTTACTCTTCTTCTTATCTTTGGTAACTAAAGAAGCTTGAGCGTCGTTGGTAGAGGAATTAACTTTCTTGATCATTAATGATTCAGGAGGGTCTTCTTTGATCAACTTCTTTCGAGATCTAGAGCCAAAGCAGCCAAAGAGCGAGTTGCTTCTCTTGCCCTTTCTTTGCTTCTCTCTTCCTCTATCCACTCTTTCTGTCTCTGAGCCACCTCCAAGGAAGAAGGTGAGGAGGTCTCCAAAGAGATTCTCTCCTTTAATAAGACTATTTTGGATAAGTTTTATTCCCTCATTCTTCAATTTCTTTGACTTCTTTTTCTTCTGTTTCTTAGCTGAGTTTCCTGTGGCAACCTTGATCATCTCCACATCGATGATGTCGTCTTCAGCGGTTTCATTTATAGTCTCTTTGGTTTTATTTTTCATAGGCTCTACTGTATTCGTGCACTGAAAATTCAAGATTTCCCTCGATCTTCTCTTCCTCAGAAGAAGCATCCTGAGATTTGAAGTCGTAGATCTGACTGTTGATGCTCTTCTCAAATTCTGATTTCAATTCTTCCTTAAGATTACTGATGATATTGATCTCATCTCCCTTAGTGGAAGTGTCTTTCTTCACTGTACTGTGGCTAAGGTGATTGGAATTGGAAGGTTTCTCAATGTTAGAGTTGTCAATGACTATTTCCCTACCAACCATAATATCCTCCTTCTCTTCTACCTTGGACAACTGTAGGTTAGGTGTTAATAATACCTCATTCCATTCCTGTTTGACTATGTCTTGGTCAGAACCTTTTGAGATTGGGGAGAGATTCTGAACGTTCTCCTTGAGAACGAACTTTGACAAGTTTTTATTATCGAAAGTATGATTCCCTCTCACAACATGCTTGTTTGAAAATAAAATAGAACTAGCGTTAACTGGATCTTTGCGAACATACATGTGAGTATGCCTCCTCACATCGCTAATATCACTCGATTTGGAGTGGTCTCTTTGTGATAATTTACTATTGATAGTCCCGATAAGCTTCTCAGCAAATTCCTCAATATCTTGTTTGTGTCTCCTTGCTACAGATTCTCTAATATTTGGGTTAATATTTTCTTGACAAATATCTTGGAGTTCTTCTTTAGAGCAGAATTTAGACATCAGTTTCTCAACTTCACACTCGATTTCTTGCTTAATACTTCTTTTAGACTCTCCGCTAATGATGGAATATTGTTCACTTGAATCAGGAATGCTTGCAGTAGCATTAGCCATTTCAAGGTCCCCTGGCATACCATTTGGGTCCAGCCTGTTATCAAGATAAGATATTTGCACCTCTTTGCAAATATTTCTCTGTGAAGGACCGTTTGAATTCTCCATTTGGTCGAACTTGATTGAATCAGAAGGGCTCAAATGCTGTTTATGTAAATATTGATTCATGGGTCCGTTTAAAGAAATGTGAGGTACTAAGACTGTCTCTCAATTCTCATCAACAAGCATCGAACTTTCGTCCAGATCAAAGTTAGAGTAAATAAAGTTATCTCAAAATTCTAGAGTATTTAGAGTTTCTTGAAATGAATCTATGGATGAATTTATGAGTCCAATCATATTGATAGTCATTTCATTTCCTATATTATAAACTAAAGGATATTACCATCACCTCTGAGTTCTAAGATCAGATTTTTCAAACTGTACATAAAGTATTCATTCTGATTAGCAGATAGCTCAGGCTCACTAGCACTCTCTTTTGGAGTCGAAGAGCCTGATACAAGGCCTTTAGGGTATACTATTGAATCGAATCCAATAGAATCAATTAATGAAACTACTCCGCTTCCTTCTCCTCCTTCAATACTAATTTCTACAACAAGGTGGCTTTGGCTTCATGAGCTCTCAAAACTCTCATTCTCCAATTGCTGTACATATTGTGTTCTAATGGTATAAATAGCTTTGAGTGTATCGACAGCTTCTCCAATATCCTCTACCGTCACAAATGCTCAATCTGATTTGCTTTCTTTGTACTCCCCTTTGACCAGATCTATGATCTGGTCAACGAATATCTCACTGGCAGAAATCTTAAGCACAGAATCTTTTCCTTCACTTCTCTCCTGTTCTATCTGGTAAAACAATGTCACTAGGGTGTAAAATCATACATTGTGCTCATTATCTGAAAAACTTGGAAGAGTTCCCAGAAGGGAAGATTTTCCAAAAGCGTTGTCTCCAAAAGTGACAAAGCACATATTTTGTTTATCAATAGTCACTGATTCTCTTATGGGTTCAACAATATCACTAATAATCTCAGTGACAGGGTCTTTGTGGCTGAATATTTTGCCATTATAATTATATTTCTTATAAACTTCTTCATTCTGAGTATACAGGATGAGGTCATTGTCATCCCTCTTCTCAACACAGAGATTGGAGTCTCCTCCAATAAGATCTGGGTTATCAATTTCATGTAAGAAGTCAGAAATGTGTATGTATACCTTCTTCTCAATCTCTAGATCTTTCCCGGACATTTCTATTTAAATTTAAAATTATTTTGCTCAATTTATTGATCTTCATTTGGGGTTTTGGGGTTTTGGGGTTTTGGGGTTTTGGGG